ATAGGTACATTACAATTCTTGTCAATTCATGTATACGCAGTTCTGAGTCCATTTTTTTTTCTCTTGGTTACCGTTTACGATCCTGCGAATCCACGTGTACTCATGTAAACAGATCATTAGTGAAATGCAAGTGAAATGCTAATCCCACGAATGAAATTGCAAAAAGTAAAAGTAATGGCGCCCAGATTACTCGTTATTCTCACACTCGACTACGGAAATTGAATCGAGATCGACGAGTCACGTCGCTGGCGCGAAATTCGTCGCGGTGCGAAAGTACCGCGGTGAAAAGTAAAAAAAAAAAAAAACGTAAGAAAAAAAGACAGAAGGATAAAGAGGGACGAACGCGCGGAGGAATAAGAAAACTGAGGAGTGCGGCCGCGCATTTGCGTATTGTTATGTTAACGCTCGCGCGAAGTAACAATCGGCACCAAACACAATGGCGAAATCCCTGTTGAAAAGGGGGCAAGGAGGTTGTAGAAGCCGAAAGCAAGGGTTGGGGGCAGAGCCAGGGGGGAGTGCGGGACGGGAAACGTTATCGCATTATCGTATTGCGGCGCCTCGTTGCCGGGACTCGCTTTGCCCTTACGTAAATTCCTGCAAACAAAGATTTACACCGATACAACCGTGAGCACGGTACCGCCGTCCTCCCTGTTGCTTCCTCTTCCTCACTCTCCTTCTTCTTTCCCTCTTTTGCCCTTCCATAGCGAGATTGCGAAACCATGTCGAGTAAACGGGAGGCGATGTCCACCGCCCACTTTAATATTCCTCGTTTCCATAAAAATATGACGTTCCTTGAGAATCTCGAGTCTCAAGACGAAGATTTACCACGGGCCGCTTGACCTGTGACGAAAATCGACTTCGATAACGACAGATACGATGAGATTACACGTCGATGCTTGTCTCTTACGAAATAAAGTTACTCTTGTTCATCTTTGCATCGCAACAAACTTGACAAACGTCTAATGTCTGCAAACATGACAATCGAATACTGAAAATGTCTTAAACATGAAAAAACAAATTCTGAATAAAGAGACTAGAGACAGACGACAATACTTATTAGTCAATAGTATAATTTTATTTCTCACAATACATTATTTATTGTAATATCTCAAATATTTTTCACAACTAC